ATGAACACAATAGAAAAAAAATAACCTCCAAATTATTTTTATATATGTTCTGGTGAATTTTCGAACCTACAGCCAATTCAGAATCTAACTGTTTCTTTTAACTTCATCCTAGGCTCTTCATCAATTTCCAAAATTTACGAATTTATCCCCAACTTTTCAAAACTTACAAAATGATCCCCAATTTTTCTAAGGCTTGTAGAACTTCCTTCATCATTTCCAACCCATATATAATTTTTTCATAATTTTTCTCACTCAAACCATTCATGGCCAAAATTTAAAGAACAAGTTCTAGAAAGATTAAACATGTTCTAATCATCTTTCATGCTAGAATATGAATCATCTACCTCACAAACATCAAAATCCATCATTAATTTCATGATCCCTTATATGAACACAAACCCCTCAAAATCATCAATAATCATCATTAATTTCAAAAACCATTGTATAACCCAAATTTCCAGATTTGGGGATATTTGAATCAAGCAAGATTACCATGCAATATTGGTACCAAAAGATAGAGTTTTTCGCATATAACAATTTTCTATTTATACCTACTCCAAATCCTAAGTAAATTACTTGAAATTTGATTTGAATCTTTTCCTTACCTTGAGAGACCCACGACTGATTTGGAGAAGAAGATAGCAAGTTTGGGTGCATTCATCTTATTTTACTCTATATTCCACTATAAATGAATATTATATTCATTTAATTGTGATATAACCAAATCACCCTTAATGAATCTTCCTATTTACCATAAAACTATGACAACTCATCCTTATCATAATTCAAAGTCAAAGATGAAATATTTTGATTTAAATTTCCAAATTTTCCCATGAAATTTCAAAACTTGCATTTCAGTCACTAAATTCCATTGTTTCGATTAAATCTGAAAAATTGCATATTTCCAGACCAAATTTATCTGATCCAAAATATTAAAATAATATTTCCAATTATTTTATAACATCCTTCAAATTTTTGTAAAATCCCAACTCGATCCGAATTATCGATTCCTTATCGGCTTTAACCCTTTATAGTTTTTCTTTACTAAAATTCCAAATCCAAAAAATATGATTTCTATAAAACTCCACTCTCAAGAGTCCATTCATGGAATAAAATTCTTTTTTAGGAAATTTATCCCTTAATTCCTCATTTTCCAAGTTTTATACTTTGGCCATCAAACTTCCAAAGTTTTCATTTTGGTCATTATCTAAATTTTTGGGGTATTACAGCTGTGATCCAAACTACTCGGCTACTCTGGTCTTAAGTCTCCACTTTCCTGTCAGAGGTCATGTCCTCGATAAGGGCTAAATCATTCAAATCAGATCTCAACTAGTCTACCCACTTCCTCCTTGGTCGTCCTCTCCTTCTGGTACCGTCGACTGTAATCGACTTACCCTCCTGACCGCATCTGATGGTTGTCGCCTAAGGACATGGCCAAACCACCTTAGTCTTCCCTCTCTCAATTTTTCGGATACAAGCACCACCCCAAGGACATCCTAATTGCAGTGTTTGGTGTCATGTCCCACAGAGTCTTACCATATGTCCATCGAAGCATTCTCATTTCTGCGGTTCCATCTTCCTTACGTGATCCTTCTTGATTGCCCACTCTGATTCATATAGCAGCGCTAGTCTTATTGTAATTCTATAAAATTTTCCCTTAAGTTTTAGAGGCACTTTCTTGTCACACAAAACTCCAGTAGCAGCCCTCCACTTTAGCCATCCTGCCTTATACGGTGTAACGTCATTATCTACCTCCATCTTTATGTATCATAGACCCTAGGTATTTGAAACAATCATTTGAGGGGAGAACGTGTCCTTCGATACAATCCTTTGATTTTGTTAAATTGATTTTAATATATAATCATAAAAAGAAATATAAATTTAATTTAAAAATATAAAAATCTTAAATTCTTTTTTTTTTAATCTTACATTAACTACAATTTAAATATATATATATAAACCAACAATTAAATTGTTTTAGTGATTTAGGTACTCTCAAACTATTTAATTGTTGAATTTGAATACACTCTTGGTCACTTTTAACTTTTCTGACCCTAGCTATAATAAAAGATATATACATAATGTTGCAGTTCAACTCACATTATGTCATTAATGACGTATGTTATCATTTTATTATATGATTAAATTTATTAAATTAAAATAAAATTTAAACTAAATTGATAGATTGTATAAGTAATGAAAATAAAATGTAATTATACTTTTTTGATAATCCTCATGTCAGTTTCCCTTCGAATGTTAATAGTATAACTTGATTGAAATCGTCTAATTAGTTAAATAATCTAATTAATAAGATTGAAATATCGATTATCAAATTCAAATCACTGTTATTAAATGGGGTGGTTACCCAATAAAAATATGGATGTTAGAATTTAGGCTGATGAAAAATTTAAGGATAAAGTTATAAAATGGTCCTTCAATTATAGGATATATTGTTGAGTCACCTTATTATTAAAAATAACAAAATGGTCACTCATTATTCATTATATTCTACTCATCCTTTTCGGTTAAAAAATTAATGATCGTCTGAGTTGGACATTAACGTGTTGACTGAGATATGATAGTAGTTTGAGATTATGATATTAGATTTATCATATCTTAATCAACATGTTAATATCCAACTCAGACGATTATTAATTTTTTAACGAAAAATGATGACTTTGAAAAAATGAATAGTTGAGTGACTATTTTGTAACTTTTAATAGTCGATAGACTCAACAAAATAACTTTTTAGTTGATGAATTATTTTGTAACTTTTAATAATTTGATTACTCAACAAAATAATATCTTATAATCGGAATCATTTGTGTACTTTTGAAATGTAACATAAAAAATATTTTTTTTGATAATTAAACATAAAATATGCTAAAAGAAATTAGGTGGGTATTTCTTTATTTATGTAGAAAAGGTTGAAAGTTGTATCATGGAAAACAAAAGGCAGAGATATAGATTCAACGTTTGACTTGGTTCTTCAACAATTTCAGAAGTAGGAAAAATGGAGAGGGAAAGCATGGAAGAAGGGCTGTTAACAGGCAGATATGGACCGCCAAATGAAACAAAACCAAGCATCAATGGTGGCGCCGGTGGTGACAGTATTACCGGCGACCTTAACATACATCCTCGCCGGCAGCTTCCTCATTGACATCTGTTCTCGTCTTCAGTACGTTTATTGCCGTTTGTGGCTCTTTCTGCTATGGCTGTTCTGTAAGCTCTTCCCTTTCTTCTTCTTCATATCCTCAACGTGAAGATCTTCAACATTTTTTTAACAAAAAGAACCTTAAATTTATATTAATATGTAAGTATATGATATAATGAACTAACTTTGAAAATGAACCCAGATTGGTTATTCATCACCTGTTCAGAATGGGATCATGGAAGACTTGAGCCTCTCTGTGTCAGCAGTTAGTACATGCCAATCTTTTCTACTTTTTTTTCCTATTCAATTTACTTTCTTAAAGCTTAAGAAAGCTGTAGGTGAGTTTATATAACTATCTTACTCGGATTATTGTGAGTGATAAATACAGCTATAGTTAATTTTTTCGAAGTTTATCTCGTATTTATATTCGAATATGTATTGGAAATAGATATAGATATAGTGCGGAAAAACGAAGAATAGTAATATAGATGTGTAATCTTTGACACCAATTTGCAGTACTCTGTTTTCGGTTCAATAATGACAATTGGGGGAATGGTAGGAGCAATTTTAAGTGGGAAGATAGCAGATCTTATCGGTCGAAAACGGGTAAGTTATATTTGTTTGGTTAAGCCTTTACATATTCTTCTAAGTTAATGTGTTCATATACTCTTGAGAAACAGACAATGTGGTTCTCTGATGTCTTCTGCACTGCTGGGTGGCTATCAATAGCATTCGCAAAGGTTAACTTCCACTTTAAATTATTTCCTTTCCGGTAATTCGATAATGGAACAATTCGTAAGAAAGATCGTAAGAAGTGTATGTTTACTTTCTGTTGGAAGAATGCCTTGTGGCTGGACATCGGAAGGCTGTTGATTGGAATCGGGGTTGGTGTGATTTGTTATGTGGTAATGTACTAAAGTTTGTAGTTCATACATATTTCATCAGCTTGAAACAGTTTTGAAGTAACTTAAATGATATAGCTGAACTTTCTATATGAAAACAGGTACCTGTTTACATAGCTGAAAAACACCTAAGAGTCACCGTGGATCATTTGCATCGGCAAATCAGGTAAACTATACTAAACCCATAATTGAAAATGTGATTTTTCAGCTTATCGTTAATTCGATTAAGCTTCTTAATGGTGCAGTTGATGACTACTTGTGGGTTTGTACTTATATTTTTCACTGGAACAATCATTTCGTGGGCACACTGGCTATGATCGGTATATACAATTTTCTTATTAACTTAGCTAAAGGTGTGTTAGTTGCTTAAGTTTTTATCCATTCCGTTTCCTTCAGGTGCAATCCCCTGTGTAGTACAGATTATAGGCTTGTTTTTTATTCCGGAGTCCCCTAGATGGCTGGTAAGCCTAACATAGTAGTCTCCCAATCTTTGGATGCTTTTCAAGTACACATGTTAAAATGAACACGTGAATGCAAAAAACGACCGACTTCTGCAGGAAAAATCCGGTCGAGAGAAAGAGTTTGAGGCTTCTTTGAAGTGTCTAAGGGGAAAGGACTCAGACATTTCCGAAGAAGCTTCTGAATCAGAGTAGCGTATTGGCTTGATATCTTGTTACTTCTGTGAACACATAGTTTTCCTCATGATAACAAGAAATGTTATGTGCTTACAATATCTTGTAGGTTTATATGGAAAACTCTTGAGCAACAGACAGAAGAAAGTTTCCTCGAATTGTTCCAAAGGAGATATGCTAATGCACTCATTGTGAGCTTCGAGTAACATTCGATTAGTATGCTAATTTCTTTTAAAGACTTTCCTGATGATTTCATCATAGGCTTCTTGAACTCTGCAGATTGGAGTTGGCCTAATGTTATTGCACAACTAGGAGGAAATAGTGCTATGGCATATTATACCAGTAGCATATTCAACGAAGCCGGTAAATTTACATCTTCCATGTTGTTTCCTATATAATTATTGATGCAGAAATTATTCAAAGAAGACACAAATTTTGTTTGCAAGGCATATCAGGTAACCTTGGCCTTCAAGTTTTAGCTATTGTACAGGTACCTTCATGGCTTCTTTCCCAACTTGGAGTTAACGTAAAATTATGTTCCAAGCATTTCCGAGACATCTCAATTACATTGTTTTTTTTTGCAGATTCGGCATCTATTTAGGTTTATTTTTATGGATAGATCCGGTAGACGACCACTCCTATTGGTTAGTTTCGTAAAAAATTCATTTCAAGGTGGTAAAATTGTTGAACAAACAAGTAAATGTGTAATCAATCCAATTTTATGCAGGTTTCTGCAAGTGGACTGTGTTTTGCTTGTTTTCTTCAGGGACTGTCATTCTGCTTTAAGGTATTGCAAAATTTAGTTAATTTTTTTCAAGAGATTGTCCTTTCCTGTTTAAAGCTTTCCAATTCTTTCTTTTTTTTTCCTGAAAACTTTGATGCTATTTTACAATCAGGAATTCCCCGATCTGAAGGCACTTACTCCGTCTGTGGCATTTACCGGCACATTGGTACTTCAGTCTGTCTTACATATTTTACCTATTTAATGCAGTAATCATGAACATACATGATTCTTTGTAGAGCCTGCATGGATCTAAACAACTATAAGTACATATTAAGCCAAACTACATGTAAACTGATCAACACTGCAAACAGATCGGTGCTACATTCTACTCGATAGGCTTGGGAGGAATACCGTGGATTATAATGTCAGAGGTATGTGTCAATTCCGAGATCGAAATCTTCGCCGTTGCTTGCATATCAAGCTTTCCCCATTAGCTGTAGGCAAGAGATTCATTTGACTAAAACATGGTCCATACTATTTGTCAGATATTTCCTATCAATGTTAAAGCTCAAGCTGGAAGCCTGGTGACCCTAGTCAATTGGTCCACTGCTTGGGTCATTACTTACAGTTTCAATTTTATGATGGAATGGAGCGCAGCAGGTCATTCTCCGTTTCTTCTCTAACAGAGTAAATTAAGATTACATTTCTGAACTAAAATGTATCAGCAATATGATTGCAGGAACATTTTTCTTTTTCTTGGGAATCTCAGGGTTAACTGTTGTATTCGCGGCCGTGTTGGTCCCGGAGACAAAGGGGAGAACACTGGAGGAAATACAAGCATCTATCGCTCATTTTCTGTACATTTAAGATATAAGGAATGGACATGAATGCATCAATATGTATAAGCAATACGCATATGGCTTACTTTCTTTCGTATATTTACAAGTGATCATTCCCAAGGATGAACAATGCTGGTGAACATAATGATACATGCAATGTACTTATACATTAATACGTTTTAGTAGGATGTAACAACCAAAAACCTTGTATTATCAAATAGGGAAACAAATAAGTCCCTGTACTGATCAGTACTGCAAACTCAGGTCTGTGCTAAAACTTTCACAATAGGATTGGGAGGAATACCATGGATCATAATGTCAGAGGTATGTGGCAATTCCGAGATCAATGCTCGCCCTAAAATCTGGAAACAGAAGATTCGTTTAACTAAAACATGGTCCATTTCCGCCCTCCCTGTCAGAGTAAATTAACATTACATTTCTAAACTAAAATGTATCAGAAAACTTCATTGCAGGACCATTTTTCTTTTTCTCAGTAACCACAGCCTTAACTGTTCTATTCGGGGCCAAGTTGGTACCGGAGACAAGGGGAGAACAATGGAGGAAATACAAGCATCGACCACTCACCTGTTTTCCGTAACATATAAGATTTAATCTTGCATGGCTTTGAATGCACCATGTTTACAAACAACACAAATATGGCTTACTTTCATTTTTGTTTCACAAGTGACCATTTCCAGGGAGGAAATGTGGTGAACCGTTTCCATTTCCTCATATTGGTCTTAAAAGACCCTGTATACATTTGTATACTGTAAACCGTACACTTTATGATATTGAGACATTCAAATTTTTTAAATATCTAAACTTGGAATTTGAGTTCACTTTGGCAAATTTACTCAATATGCATGAAATATTCAAACAATCCAACAAATATCACATTTCATGTGTGGGCCTCTCAGGCCCAATGGATAACTCTTATCATTTCTTCAAACTGAAAAATTAAGTTCTTGTCCTTTTGTTCTTTACACCACTTCCAATCAAACTCCTTTACTCTGTTGCTTAATTATTGGCTACAGTTCTCTTGCTTGAATTTTTGAGAGATGAGTAGACAGAAAATAGAAGATGGTGAACTTTCAAGTTCTTTGATAGTTAAAGAGAAGCCTCCGGATGGAGCTGGACATGGTAGTTCTGGTGAAGAACAAGGTGGAATTGGAACTACTTCTTCTGCAACAACTATGGTTGTTCTTAGCACCTTTGTTGCTGTTTGTGGATCTTATGTTTTTGGAAATGCTGTAAGTATCTGTTTTCGTTATTGAAATGATTAGTTTTACTTATAATCTTAATCTGCAAAGTAAAGGGGTTTCCCCTTCTCCTGCTTGACCATGAATTTTGATTACAATGAATGGCTAAGTTTGACCTTAATTCTACACAGTACCTGGACTGTTCTTGTTCACCTGTTGAAAAGCAATAAGACTTAAGAAACTTGGGTTTTATTCAGTTCGCCGATGGTAATCATATACTGTTGCATTCGTCTTACAAAAGTTGAACTAATATGATTAATTTACCAGATTGGATATTCATCACCTGCTCAGACTGGAATCATAGCTGATCTGGGTCTCTCTGTGGCTGAGGTAAAGTATAAATAGATCTGTTTCCTTTATACAATATTTTTTACCAATAATGCACCATTTTCTTTTAACAATAGTCGCACATCCATAGCTCGCAAAACTGCAAAAGTTTCCCGACTAAGTGCATCTTCCACAACATTTGCTTTACCCGAATGATAATTAATGATCAAATCATAATCCTTTAAAAATTCTATTCATCTCCGTGTCTCAAATTAAGCTCTTTTTGAGTTAACAGATATTTCAAACTCTTATGATCCGTGTAGTTGTGGCATCTCTCATCATACAAATAATGACGCCAAATCTTTAGAGCAAAAACAACCAATGCTAACTTAAGATCATGACTATAATAATTCCACTCATGCGTCTTTAATTATCGAGAAGCATAGGCTATCACCTTACCTTCTAGCATAAGTACACAATCCAAACCATTATGAGATGTATCACTATACACCCCATACTATTTGTCCGATTCTGCTTATATCAACACTGGTGCTTCTGTTAAAAATCTTCTTTAGAGTTTTAAAACTCTCTTGACATTTCTCGGTCCAAGCAAATGAAACATCCTTTCTCAAGAGCTTGGCCAAAGGATAAGCAACCATCGAAAAGTTTTTCACAAACCTTCGATAATAACCAACAAGTCCCAAAAACTTCATACCTCTGAACATTCTTTGGAGGTTTGCACTCCAATATTGCTTGATTTTTTTTACCTTCCGTCGAGATAACATAACCAAGAAAAGTAACTTCTAATAGCCAAACTCACACTTTGACATTTTGGCATATAACTTTTTACCCTTAGTTACCTCGAGCACAATACGAATATGAACATCATGCTCTATCTTTGTATTCGAGTATACTCGAATGTCATCATTACAGACCACCTCAAACTAATTTAAATAACGTTGAAATACTCAATTCATCAAAATCCATGAATGATGCTAAAGCATTTATCAAACCAAACGGCATTACTACAAACTCGTAGTGTCTATACCGTTTTCTGTAACCTATATTTGTAGCATCATCCTCTTTAATATTTAACTGATGATATCCCATTCGCAGACTGATTTTAGAAAACATTATTGCTCCTTTAAAGCTGATCAGCAAGTCAGCAATCCTCAAAATAGGATAATTTGTTCTTGATAGTTACTTTGTTTAACTATCGATATTCTATGCATAATCGCATAGATCCATTTTTTTTAAACAACACCAGTTCACTCCAAGGTGAAACATTCAGTCTAATGCATCCTCAATCTAACGGTTCTTGCAATTGGTTCTTTATTATCTTAACTCAATTGCAACCATTCAATATGAATCCATAGATACATGATTCATGCCTTGATAACCATCAATATTGAATTCCACCTCTCAATCTAGAGGTAATCAATATATTAAATCTAAAAATACATATGAAAATTCCCAAGTTATGGAAATATCATATGATCTTACTTCAGATACTTGAGTATCTATCACCTTAGCTACAAAAGCTATTCATCCTTTTAATCGCAACCCTTAATCGCAACCATTTCTAATATCACTTATTCATGATTTTACCTTTTTCATCAATCATTAAATATTCTTTTTTTCTCCGCATTTTAAAAATTAATCGCTTCTTGCGACTATTAACCCGACCTTAATGCAGAGACAATCAACTTCTGATCAAAATGATCTAAAACTCGTTAATGATAATCCCATAAGATTCACCATTAACATAAGCTCTTGAATCTTTATCAGACATTTATATTTGTCCGTGTAACACTTGTATCATGACCGTGACCATGACCTATGGTCTTCCACAATAATATCACTTAATGTCAAATAGAATTGAATATCTCTACTTTAGAATTCTTTATTTCATTCTTAAGGAAATCTATAAAACTTTTCCAGATCCAAAATAATATTTCCGAACAGTTGAAACATTTTATATCTCAAATGAAAGTTTCAATGTTCACATCGTTCAATAAGAAAACTTGATAAATTTGTAGCAATAACTTCATATTAGTTAATGCTAAAATCACACTATTAAACAAATTTACTATTTTTCATCTCACTACGAACCTGACACTTTTCAAGTTCTTGAGAATCAATCTCGATCTATACAATAATTCATTGTAGCATGGAAGGGTTAGACAATCCATTTATCCATTATTCCATATTTACCTTTACAAGGTAACTCTATCCAGTTTTAATGGACTTGATATCTATTCCCAATCTAACTCATAATCATTTGATTCACTAATAACTCAGCTTTCTGTAACCTTTTAACGGAAATCATATTTACCGCTTACTTATTTCCTCTTACTCAATTCAACAATGATTTAAACAATTCAATGCTAAATATTTCTCACTATTTAAGCTTACCTGGAGAAACCTCAGAATCATCACTAGATTCAAAAATCTCTTCTAAATCCTCATTCGATTCAACTTTTCTTATAAGTCATTCAAACTTTTTTTAATTGATTCTTCCATTCAGAATCTTCATTAAAAACTGGGCATTTCTTCCACAATCTGGAGAAAAATCCCTTACAAATTCCACCCTTCTAAGGTGTTTTACATAAATCATATTAGTCCCTTTTGTCAATTTCAATCTCGACCTTCTTTTAAACAATTTCGACTTTCTTACCTTTTTCTTTAATTTTCCAACATCTGATCATAGTCAGATTCATCATACATTATTAAAGAGTAACTTTACTCCTAATAATCATCATCACAGTATATATACAACTATCAGTAACTTTTGACATCCTAGTGGCATGTATACATTTTTTTTAACTCAAAACAACCTCGGTTTAGTCCTAGAATCGGCTAAACATGTAGCTCTGATGCCAATAAATGTAACACCCATAACCCGTATAATTATACCTATACAGATTATAGATGTTATCCGAATGTCTAAAACCATTTTACGATTCAAAAGCGATTTAAAATTTATTTTTTCTTAAAATAGTAAATGATATTATAAAAATATCATATCATATAAATAATATTTAATTATAACAAATTTAATCCAAAAGATTTTTTTATGAATAGTGAATAGTACCGTGAACAGTGTATCGTGAACAGTAGGGGCATCGATACCTGTAGCAGGGGAATCGATACCCCTTTAACATTCTGAAAAATTTTGCTTAAAACCGTGGTTACTGTTCATGCTACAGACTTTCGAAAATACACATAAGTTCATAAAATTCCATTTTTTGTTCCAACTTAATTCAACAAAACAAATAAAACATAATAATTACATGCCACTAATTTAATCTACATTACATCTTAGGATGTCTTACTGATATAGAAATATACTTCTCGATCTTTGATGACGTTGTAAACTCTTTATTCCATTACTGGCTTTTTACCTACACGTGAAAATCATCACACGCTAAGTATATACTTAGTGAGGCAATTAAAACATTTAACAGTGCAATACAATTCATGCATGATTTTCAATGTCCAAAATCCAAATGCCATAAAATCATTTTATGTGCATAACCAATATTTACCATGATAAAAAATAATATAAAACCTCTTACCATTTATCCCATAAGCTCGTAAGCTTATT